CTAGCTCATTCACTTGCAGAGGGATCTTTTTCAACTTTGAAGATGTCCTAATCTTCCATCTTTGTAGAATTTCGGCGACTTCAGCAAAATATTTAAAAAATTTCGGGCGAACACCCAAGAACTAGCGTAGCGCAGTTGGTTAGACAGATTTCTTACATAAGGAATTAGTTGAACTATTTCAGGCATGATTACTACAAACGGCCTTGTTTCCTTATAAGATGGTACAATTATTTATATATTCCACCACCAAAGTTTGGGCTTTTCTCCAGGGACGGTCTTCAGTAACAGTAGCCTCATGTATTTCGGAGACTGACATGTGAATGATCATGATGACAGTAGTGAGTTTCTCCATTATTCTAGCTGTCCTCTCAAATAATATTTACTCATGAAGTGTTTATTTGGAGCATAGATTATGAATTCCATCTTTACACCGTTTCTTACTAAAAGCATCTAGATTAGCCGGTAAAATTACGAATGGAAAACTAATACGACACGACCGAATAGTACTTCAAGTGTGCTTTCAAATGATTTATTACTCATTATTTGTCAACAGCTGATGTTAGGTCTGTGAATAATCCCGCTGATTCATCGAATTAGTGAATAAAAATCCATGTTCTTAGCTTTCAATATCGGAAGAAGGTTCTAAGTTGCGTTGAAAATAGGCAATTGAGTTACCATGGAAGGAGAACATTACAGGATGAACCGAATTTCGACGGTTGGTATTTCAGTTGCAAGTATTTTCTGTTACAAATCCATATGGCAGACCGTTTTACTTTAGAAAAAACAGCATTTTTTGCTAGCAGATATTTAGTTTCATACGTATGTTTTTAGTTTTCCTGTCGTTTAAATTAGAAAATTCATAATAAACTTGCGTTGTCTTTCATAATCTCGTTAGTACATCTATTTGTATGGGTGTGAGCATCAACTGAAAGCTTTTGTAGGCCACTAACTAAGCTAAAGGTGTTCTTACTTCTGATTACTGGACGGTGTAAAGCTTTGTGAGTAGACCTATACGGAAAACTGTAGTTCAGGTTTCCTGACATGTAAAACCTCCTGTGATGTCATTACTCCACGGGATTTTCAGCCGTAATGAAATAGCCTATTGGCATGATACAACACTTTAATGAAACATCTAGTATATTCGTCCCCTAAAAGATGGTGAGAATTCATATTGGTGTGTCAGTGTTGTTGGTGTGCAACATGCTTCCTGTCAGAAGCTACAGAAATAGTGGATATAGCTAAGAAGCATATTTTCAAACGGAACTCTACTGTCCCACATGAGATGATTTTGATAGTGGTCATAGGTAGTCGCTTTAATCTAAGTTAAAGTTGGCTTGGCCACGTTAGTCTATGAAATTATAAGTCAGTACGTCTACCTCTTGTGCTAACGATCCTGAAATATTGATCAAATCTACAAAATGAATGAGTTACAAACATTATCTCGGCCCTAACCAACAGGCGGGGACCTTCGGAATACAACTTTCTAACTTCAAGCAACGTTATCAAAGGACTTATGAGTTTAACAACTTTCAAAGTGGACAACACATAAAAAGTGCAAAGAATTACGTTGGAATGTCTAGAAGCCACGATTTCAAGATGTGTACAGTCTGCTTCGAAAGCTCCAGTCATTAGAGAACGTTGTATCAGTTCAGCAAATTTATTTAATATACGTACGATATTTTCAGTGAAATCCTTTTTTTGTCTAGGCAAATATTACTGAATGTGCTCAGCCACGGTCATCTCTGATTGCGTTAGAATAGCGAGTAATTACACACTAACATTCACTATAGAACATTCTCATTTCTGATTGTTGGCATTGTACTTTGTGTCAACACAAATTACTTCTAGCAAAAACTGCATCAACAGATTCGGTGACGTTGTCACTATGATTACAATACTCTCTTACTCCCTCTTTTCATCGTAGTATACCAATGACCTTCAGCCGTGAGGCGCGACCTGAAAGTATAACAGTACACACCTACCGATGGCTACTCACAATGTCACTGTTTTTAAATCAGTAACAGTTGTTTCCATGTCAGTGTACGATTTCACGTGTTCTATTACAACGGGAAGGTCCTCAGATTTTCTCTCTACACTTATGATAAGCTCCTAGATCATGTATAACAAACAACCCATGAGCAATCACATGGATGATTTTGAATCATCCTGAAAGAAGTTATGAAAAATCCGTTAGGATCCTAGGATAGGTGAAATGTTGACTTGCGTTTCGGGAAACTATTATCACTAGAAGTAATCGAATTCTGTATGCTAACTAGCAGTACTAAGAACAGTTCAATTCGTAGTCTTTTAGTCACATATATACAAGTCAGAGAGAAATCGGTGAGCACAATCGAAGGTACTGTGTGTATACTAGTTTTTGTCCAGCTTCAATGTGGTTTGTGTACAAGGGAGCATGCAGATTAGCGTGAGTGAAGAGGGTGGAAGATAGAAGAGCAAAAGAGAGGTTGAGTCAGACCCAGTAAGCGTACACAATTCACTTATTGTTACTTAAGAAATTAATGGAAAACAACCAGAAATAACACAAACGCAAGACTAATGCAATCCTGGAATCGAAACTAGAAGCAGATAGCTAAACAGTGCAGTATTCCGAACTTAAATCAACCGCGGAACAATTCACAAAGGAAGCAGTGTTGTGTACAAACATCACAGAACTTTGACCTACAGTATAACCCATTACTTAGAGTTCCAACGGTTTTTCAACAACTCCATTTTTCTGAGGCTTTCACTCAACACTAACTACACATTTTATTACAACAAACTTATATTTTTCTATTGCCACTACCCACCTTATGCATATAGCTAGTGATTGGTAGCCCTATGACATGGCTAGACAAACCCCTTTAATGTGACGGCTGTAATATTAAGCCAAATACAGGTTGCGTAGGATAAACTTTTTTCAAGCAGTGGTGTATCCAAATAGATCCGAAATGGAAAATTGGACAGCACGGCAAACAAAAGTAAAGAGTGAACTCGTTTTGTTAAAGCGTGACCCAATATCTATAGGTAGATAAAAATAATTTAAAGACGTGTCATGACTAGGGTAAGCGATACACACACTTACGCTCATGTAAAATCAGTCAAGGCTAATAAGAGAATAATAATGTCACTCAAGAAGAACAAACTGATCTGTCTGAAGCTAGCATAACTCAGATGGACCTGACACAGACTAAATGCTACAATTGTGAGTCATCTACAGAACTATAAAGTTATATATCATACACTTTGAGATTCATTGGACGCATTTTGGATGTCATTCTTAACCAAGAAACGTTTGTTCAGTCTAAGTGGTCTAAACAATTCACTAACATCAACCAAAGCATTCCCCGAGCTGAAACTTTGACAAGCAACTTACACCTGTTACTCCTCATCGAAGAGCATAGGCTGCTCACCTTCATTCTCCATCTAACTCTGTCCTGAGTAATCCTTTCCAGTTGCTATTCATCCTTTTCACGTGTGTTTCCAATTCTCGACGCGGTGTATTGTTCGGCTTTACTCGTCCGTTTACCTTCAGGGTTAGAAGCCGACGTTTGCCTCGAGATGCAGTTTGATGATTCCCTCAATGCGTGTCCTTAAGGTAACCCTCGTGCTATTGATAGAAGAAACCAGAGAAGTAGTGAATAGGTCTTTATTTCGATCTTAGCGCAGTCACAGTGGAGCGTCGGATTATCTGTTCAGACAAACAAAGGCTCTCAACATTCAATATAAGATAATAGGGAATATAACGCTTATGAAGAATAAGGAAGTGAATGAATACTTGAACAATACTGTTTTGGCATAAGCTTGGTTGTTTGGGGTCAACTCCTAACCAACCAACCTGAGCTGTTACATCCTATACACCCCCAGCGTCTTTTCCTAATTACCTCTTCAGCTGGAAGCTGGTTTGTTCTCTCCCACAGAAGGCTGTTGCTCATGGTATTCGGCCAAAGGACATTCATTATCTTACGTAGATAACAGTTTATTAATACTTTCGCTATTTTGGTGGTGATTGTGGGAATTCTTAAAGTTTTAGCTTCGCACGGTAGAACTGTGTTGACGTTCGTATTGAAGATTCTGACTTCGATTTTGGTTGACAGTTGTGTTTGACTACCATATGTTCTTCATTTGTAGGAATGCGGCCTTGCTTAGCCAATCCTTGCCTTTGTTTCTGCATCCGATCCTCCTTGTTTGTCGATAATGCTGCCAATGTACGTGAAAGTTCTCACCTCTTCCGGTGTTTCTCCATCAAGCAATGGAGGACATTTTCCCTAAAACTTGAAATTATTACCAATATAAGTAGACAAACCCGAAAATTGTATGTCATTATATTTACTGATGTTATCTTTCGGGTCTAATATGAAATGGGTATAACGAAAGCTTTCCAATGGACAATCATTTAATAAGAAATCGAGTGTTTACGGACTCAGATTTGTGTAGTAAGGACAAAAGGTATACGGTCTATGTTATTCCTTTTCTAGTATGCTTCTGTGAGTGTCCAGTCTTTTCTTGAAAAAGTCAATTGAAGGTGCAGACACCACTGCTCCGGGCAGCAGGATCCAAGTATTGATGACTCGGTGTGAGAACCTGTATGCCATGGGTATTTTGTTCGTTCTCGGCTTTTCTACTCGCCTACTATGTCCTCTGAGATGTCCCGATCTCGTGAGAAGAAAAAGAGAATGAGTTAGGTCCAAAATCATTTCTCAGTGTTCTGTACATAGAAATAAGATCGTTCTTCTAATGGTAAACCCCGGAGTTCTGGAATTGCACGGGTAGCTGCCCTCAGTACTTTTTCTAAGATCTCCAAGTTATTTTTTAAACAGGAGCTTGCAGCCTGAACGCAGTTCTCAAGCTTAGTTCTCACCAAGATTGTGCATACTGTGGTGAACATGGTAGTATCTAACTTAGTGAATGTCCATTTTAAAGTTCAGATGGTTCTAAACCCAGTAGCTGCGACCTCCAGCTAGAGAAAAGAAAGAGAATGTACCTTAAATGGTTCTCAACAACACTTTTTAGTTTATCGGACGTCAACAGATCACAAAACCCACAAACCTATGCAAACTAACACACTCAACCAGCCTCAAGCAACTCATATATGGAATGCCCGCCTTGAGCCAAGCCTCTCAAGGTTGTGGAGACGCAAAGGATGCTGATTTGACCTGGGTATTTCCACGCCGTTTTTACCACGAGATAACACTAAGAGGGTGAGTATTTGTTACGATCATAATATTAGATTACCACATTAGTTCATCCTATCTAGAATTAGATTTTTGTTCTAGACTGATGTTGTTGAATAAAACGAGATGAGACGGTTGACAGCCAATTGTATCAAGCATTTATATGATAGCCGAATCTTCCAATTTTGGGGAAATGTAATCAAAACCCCAAAATTTCCCCAAGACTTCCCCTAGATTCCTCCAAAATCTTATTACACTTTGGGGAAATCGGCCTGTATTTGTTTATGAAACTGCAATTTTTTTTCACAATTTTGGGTACATTTCGAGTTTTTACCCAAAATCTCCCCTGAACATCGGGTTTCGTCACCAATATTTTCGCAGAATCTTATTACGCTTTTGGGAACTTCGTCCCTACTTATTTACTAAACCGCAATTTCAGTGATATAATCCAAACTGTCTTCATTTAACGCATTATTTCTCATTGTTCGACAGATATCACGGAAAAGCCTGTCGATAATAACTACCTAAAAGTTTTTACCCAGGTATTCCATTTTTTGTCAATTACGAACAGTGAACACAGTGCCAAAGAAACCTAACGAAAATCGATCTATCTCTGAAATTAAAAGACTGATTCGTAACACATTTAAATGTTTATTGAAGTTTAATAAATTACAAATTGTTGATAAACAATAGACTTTCTATTTCTTAGTACCGGAAGTACGTTACGTAGACGCTGAACTACCATTCAAAATGTTCTACAGAAAGAAAGTTTGTCCCTTAGTTACCCAAAAAAATTTCATGGCAATCATCAAAACCTGAATGTTATGTAGAACGTTACTGACATACCAACGGTAGAACAATATTGTGAATAGTCCGAATACGAAACTTAGTTACGTTTTGGACATTTGCGAAGCCAGCTGGAAATAAGATGGACAAGGAATAGTTGTTTCAGTATAAATGTTTATCACAAACTAATATGAAAACAAAAACCAGTATTTAGTCACAAACCTAAAGCGCATTGAGCTCACCCTTTCTTTGGATCATCATCTACGCTTTTTTAATTTATCTCTTGCGTCGTGCAAGAAAGCCTGGCTTGCAACATCCATGGCGTGCGCTACTTTTTTTCCGGACAGGTTGTACTTCAGAACCGGGAACCCAGAACACCTACAAATATATTAATACTGTAGTGTGAACTTGCTTTGAATCGTCTGGTAGAATCTGTAATGACATATCCAGTTTACTACTAGTTCCATGTAAAGCGTATGTGTTAGCCATTTCCCGCGACAGCAAGTAACGTAAATATGCTTTGGTTGATTTACGGGGATCATCACACATGATCTCGTGCAATCTGGCCACCTAAAAGTTTTTGAAACACCTGTTAGAACTTACAAACTAATCACGAAACTTGAGCTCCTGCAAAGCAACTTCCAAAGTATGCAACTCATGTGTTTGTAATGGGAATACGAGACTTGGGGTGTCTATGTGGTCGCTGCACCTTTTTTTTCACACCAATGGATGAGCTTTCCATGCAATCAAACATTTTATCCATCTTTGTAGACATATCGCCGATTGTTTTCATCATCATTTTATTGTCAACAGTATGCAACCATTACATTAAGTACAACTTTTCACTAACTTCCATTGAAGTACATGGTAGCGGTGTTAAGAGAACCTCTGTTTTCGATGAACTACTTTATGAGCATTTATTAAATAGATACATACCTCGCTATATGTGAAAATTTTCCAGTCAAAACATTGACCACTAGTAAGTCCAATGGTGCACACCCAGCTTCGATTTCAACAACCTCCGGTTCTTCGGTAGTGCACAATTAATCTTTGAATGTTCGTTTTGCAGTCCTGACAATTGCGTGCATTGAACAGCTTAACCTTTTCGGTTTTTAAGTTACACGGTAGCGTGTCATCAGTTGCTTTTTTGTTATTATAACCTAGTGCTATAGTGAAAGATGCTTTCATTTCTTCGACCTCATGGTAATCATCTGAAATCAATGAAAGAAGTAGTTACAACTTACCGAAACGATGCAGTACGGTGCATTTTTTCAAAGTAAAGCCGCTATCACAACCAATACTTTGAAGGATTTCGGTTATTGTCACATCATCCCGATCAATATAATGTTCCTTGGCCACCAGCCATTTGCCAGGGATAACTAAAACTTGCTTCTTCTCCTTGTCATTAATAAAGAAATATTGTCCTGATTGATTCTGAAAATCAATACCATGGTTAGAAATTTTTGTCCTTGCAATGCAGCTTCTAAAGTGCTAAGTTCTGTTTCTTTGACGGAAATTCCAAACAAAAAGGCAATCCTGCAACTATTCTTGTCCTACACAACAGTGGATGAAGTTATCGTGTACTCATTCATTTTATTGATATGATTCGACAGATTACTGATCGCTTTCAAAGTCAGTGGATAAGGGACAAGTGTGCGACCTATTCCCATAAAATTTATGAATAAAACTTACTCGCTAGCAACACCGTTGGGGGAATGGTGTATTTAGCTATTGATGAGAAGTTACCAGTCAAGATGTTGACGATTGGTAACAACTAGAATGCATCCAGCCCTCACTTCAGCTACATGTAATTCTTCAGACGTGTACAAATAGTCATTCATTTTTCGTTTTACTGCCCTAACACTTTAATGCAGAAAATTATAAATTTATCACTTAGACTTTTCAGTTTGATACGAAAACGTGTCATTTGGATGTGTGCGTTGTAACCGAGATCTCTGGTAAATGTTGCCTTCAATTCCTCGGGTACCTGGAAGTCATCTGAAAGATGTTTTACGTAATCACAACTTACCAAAATAATGCACTACAGTGCATGTTCTTAACTAACATCCACCGTCCTAACCGACGATGTCACATCGTCCTTGTTCAGAAGCCAGTTGTCAGGGTTGGTTACTGCTTGCTTTTTTCTTTATTCTGGACGTTAACGAAAGGTTTTGGTTGGTGCTACAAATTAATCTAATGGCGTTAAAATTTAGAAATGTTACACACAATAACTCGATAACTTTTGAGATAGGTTGTCATGGGGTTAGAGTAATAACCAACGTGTAAACCTATTGCACTTAAATATTACATATGGTACACGCCTTGACAATTGCTATCACCCTAAGAAAATGTATAGAAGATGGTGATAATAACTTCGTAATATTGTGTCGGGATTCAAATACACTTACAAAGTAGACAGGAATCACAAATCTCATGGCAAGGTTGTGTACCTTAGGTGGTTGAGATACTTCAATCATTCGTTACCCATATTTCGTCGTCTATGATTAACAAACAGGGCCGCTGAATGCTTACATTTCTCAGTCTGGTATGTGGCAGATCCTCACAAACAACCGTTTCAATTGCTTAGATGTAAAATTAAAATAGTCGTTTATTCTACTAGATGGTTGGTTCATTAAGCTCATAACTATGTTTGTTTTTTTAATTGTTCATAAATCAGGTTTTATTATTCTTATCTTGCAGATCACATAACCAATTCACTTCTACTGAAAGCTATCAAAAGCTTCAAAGTATTTTACTTTGTAATGCATTCTACTCATCCCCTCCATTCATCATACTCGAATTTGTTGTTCAGACAGTGGCATACCGCAAACTATAAGGTCAGTGCTGAGAATCTTGTGTATCCAATTTTCCTCAGGTATATTATTTTGTTTTCTCATCCATTCAGCCAAGACCCCGATTGTGATAAAATAATTACTAGTCTAATAGACCAGCGTCGAATAGGATACAACCGAATCATCGAGTTCTTAACACCTTTGGTGGACAAGCAACTGAAATCTGTTTTGTTGTTTGGGACAATCAGTAGAGACCAAAAAGATGCTACAGGATCAGCTTGTGATACACCAAATTCACCAGTCATTCAGGCAATCAAGTTGCTGAAGTCAAAATTTCCGGATTTAATAGTGATTTGTGATGTTTGTTTGTGTGCATATACTGACAGTGGCCATTGTGGTACTGTGTAACATTTGTTTTTAAACATAATTTAGGTGTTTTACGTGATGACGGGTGCCTTGATGTACCTAGGACTCTTGAACGTTTAGCAGAAATATCTAAACGATTTGCCCTAGAAGGTGAGTACTTTTTACTAAATGTAACTGTCGTGTACTGGTTTACTTACTGGGTTATGAAGGCCACATAATACCAGAATACTAATACTATCTGAGCATATAAATCAGAGTTAATTAAGTAAGCTGTCCCAACAATTGAATATGTCTACTATAGCTTTTTATTTACTACTACAGAGTGTACACTATTTAGTCGACAAGCGGACACCTCTACTACATCACAAGCGATGCAAAATGGAAGATGCCACCCGGGTTTTTTGAGTCCATGTCGGGATTCGGTTAGGCACCAACCCACTAAGACTGACGAGACCTCCAAGATAAGTGAAGTAATCAGCGTACTCACCTACTTCACTCCCTATCACTAATTGAGGCGTTAAGACAGACTAGTATTGAAGCAACATTTAGCACTTAGGGGGGGGGGGAGAGAAACCCATCCTAAACACGCTAGCATTGTTGCTCAATTTGATTGAAAGACTTAATATTATTAGCGTCTTCGCCAGAAAGGAGTACATCTGCGTACTCTGAGTCTGTAAATGAACATCCTGAGGTACTAATCTACGAAAAGTTAGGTGAAGAGAGTGTTACTTCCAGTGACATCTATGATGAGCGTACATAACAATTGAGATAGTGGGAAACCCTGACGAACACCACTTAAGGTCTACATATAGCCGTAGCCTCTAACTCGACCAGTAGTGTCTAAGTGGAAAGTTTTCACAAGCTTTATGTACTTATTCGGTACGTCCTTCAATGCCAAATATTTTCACAGAATCTCGGTCAACAGAGTCGCATAATCTCTATTTATTAATATATACCGCTATGGTCAATATCGCTAAGTATGTCTGCGTTTTTAAACCTGAAGAAGGGTGAGTATTTTGTCAACACATCCGATTGCAGATTTAAAAACAGCCTGGTTTTACCGGGTTCACTCTTTATGAGCCCTAGTAAAGCGTTGGGTGATTTGATGAGTTTTGGTTTCGTCGTTATGAAGAAAATGTTCAGGATTTAGGCCCATTTAAAATCAATCCCATAAAATACACTCTCTTCAGAGTAAATAGAACGTCTGGTCAATATAGTCTTGGTAGTTAAATAGTCACTGAGGAATCTGTTATTAGAACTAATGGAGCTAGCTGCATCAGTAATCCAGATCGTGGTACAACCATTTGTGTTAAATGTAATCCATACAGTGATTTTGGGAGTGTCCGACTGTGACTTAATATGCTATCTTATTAGATGGTCTCTATAAAACACGAAAAGTTTCTTTGTGTGTAACATCATTGTCTAGCACTTCTGTAAGAAAAAAAACGCTCATTTAGATTATTCATACTTATCAGATATCGATTTGTCATTTAGTTTTTGACGTCTTAATAGGCTGTAGATACTCATCTGTTATACAGTTTACGTTGGCTTTGTTTTTCAGGAGCTGATGTTATTGCCCCTTCTGATATGATGGATGGTCGTGTGAAAAAAATCAAGACGGCTATACAAAGTATTGGTCTCAGTGGAAAGGTAGCCGTTATGTCTTATTCGGCCAAATTTGCATCTTGTTTGTATGGTCCTTTCAGGTAAAAATAATTTTTGAGATAACCTAGAAACTTGTGTGTGTAAGGCATTGCAAACTCCCAGATAAGGTGTCGAGTTTACTTACAGTTGGGTGTTGCCCCTGTGTTTTGTGACTTATTTTGATGAATAATGGTATGTGTTTAGTACTATCAGCTGAAATAAAAAACCCTGATGTAGTCTTCATTTGACGACACAGATAAAGGTCAGTAGTATGGGATTTTTCTAGCCTCGTATTTTTCCAAAGCTTGGAAACATCAGGACGAGATTATTAGTTAAAATTCTTTGGAACTGGCCTAGCTTTATATCTTGATGCTTTAGTCGTTGAATGAGTGCTCTTTTCTATTTTGATAAGGGCTTTAATATGGATGTTTGTTGTCTATCGGAGACCCATATTCAAGACTCTGGTGAAGTACTACAAATTTACTCTCGGTCTGTCGCTTCGAGAAGCTTGTTTTACGTACGTTTATCCGGGGACTCTGTGGCATCGTCTGGTCTTGCTGACGTTGGTGTCGTACTAAGCGCCAGAGCTGAGGCAGCACTAATCGATTAGATCTCCATTAACAGTCGGTTATGTGCTGTTAGATTGGAAAGTTCCATCAAAGTGAGAAGAAATCAGCATGAGAAACGATGTCTTTTCGTCATCTCCGCCTATGCTCCGACAGATTGCAGCCCGGATGCGATCAAGGATGAATTCTATCACTAGATAACTGTTTTTTTTCTCTTCGAATTCTCATTGTTTTGTGTGGCGCATATATACTTGGTATCCACTTATACCAATATTAATGTGTTCAAATAAATAAACAAATTATGGGTCTTTGTAATAATCCAGATACAAGAGGTTGTAATATATGATTTTAGTGACTAGTTGATGAAGTGGGTTTCAAACTTTTGATTTTTAGTACATAAAATATAGTGTCTGAACTGATGACTAAGTGTGATATGTAATTAATACGTTTACGTTTCAGAGATGCTGCTCAATCTGCACCTTCTTTTGGAGACCGTCGGCATTACCAGCTTCCTCCTGGTGCCAAGGGATTGGCTCTGCGTGCTGCTGTAAGTCTTAGATGATCATTTTTCAAACTAACAGGTTGTCACTTCAAATGGGTTTAAATTCATAGACAATTTCTTAAATGAATTGGTGTTGAATTTGAAATTTGACGTGATTTTATTTCAATATAACGTTTGTTTTACTTCAAATCTATCAATAAAATGAAAGGTCCTTCATAGTTTATAGTTTACTAGAAGTGATTTCATATCTAACTTTCAGACTGGATTCACCAATTCCCATCTGTTAATCTTCATGCTAATCATATAACTTGACTGTAGAATCAAACACAGTAGCAAATCGGTTTAACTTGTCATACTACAGGATGTTAACAATCGCGCTGTAGACACATCATCAAACTAGAAAGGTAATATGGTTCTCATTACCAAAAGTAAATTAAAACAAGCATATTTGAACCGGTTAGTTTTCATTTTTTCATTTTAAGTTAAGGTACAATTTCTATTTCAACCTGCATAAACTTTGTAAATAAAACCCCCTGAATATGGTAGTTTAATGACATTGAGGAAATATATCGTCATATGCTTTAGCATCTAATTTTTGTGCGGTCACTGCGTCATTATCATTTTTGTGTAATTATAACTGGCTATGTAGACCAATTACCACAAGTTAAGACTACATCCCCCCAGAAGCGTTAGTCAAGGAATGTTTATATAAACTACTGAGCAAACAGCAATAAACTGAATACTCTTGAGACACTTACAGTGTGACTGATAATCAAGTCCTATGGTTAATTAAATTATAAATACCTTACACTGCTTCAATTTTTTTTATCTTCAGAGAATTTAATATTAACAGAGCATAACTTCGTTTATCTAATCAATCAGTTTACCCATCTAATGGTATATTCTTTTTGGATTTGTTACACAGTACAGTTTCAATGACAATATTTATGTCCTACGTTGAGACACTTAATTAGTTGCATCACATTTTTATACTAAATACGTTGTATAATTACTGCGAAAAATCTCTTAACGTTTTTTATTTCCTTGTTTTGCTTTTAACGTTTGCGCATTCCAGATTCGCGATGCAAACGAAGGAGCTGACTTCATAATGGTAAAACCTGGTCTTCCTTACCTGGATATTGTAAATGAGATACGACAGTTGGTATGTCCATGTTGTGTTTGTTTGATGTGTCTTGTGATTTTCTTAACTCTTCGGATGTACTATCTATGCAGCATTGGTATTTCGACGATAATAGTCATTTGTTTTACAGCAAATTGTATTGGTTCACACTCTCTGTGCCGTGACGTCTGATCAAACAACCCTTTGGCATGTTCTGTGATATACCCATGTTTGAAATCGCATTCGGAAGTTGACAACTAAAACATGTGCATACATTTTTAGTATTCTGAGTATGAGTTAAGAATTTTTAGTTAATCGCAAATTAGTAGGTAAATTTTCCTGTGTGAAAAACCATTTTGGAAAGAATATCGTTAAAGAGTGAACACCTTAATTTACTAAAACAGTTATAAATTATTCAATAATTAGAGACTGAATGACAGCTCAAAATCGTTTGCGATGCTGCAGGTGTATCCATTCCTTGTTTTTCCCCAAATCCTTAAATTCTAAATTCCTCATAACTTTTTTGTGTTTTCACTAATTTATATTTTCTTGAATCGTATCTTCAATGTTTAATCTTTCCTATCACCACTGATACTGTTACTACATCTACTATTCTGGTATTTGGCCTGACAACTTCATCTCGGTGTGCTAATGGGCTGTGACAAATTGAACCGATGTACTCACAGACTCTCTTCAAGACTATTACGTTAGAACAAGTGGTCACTTATAATAATTTTACAGACTAAGATGAAAGTTAGCAGTGCGTTTATATTAGAGCACATAAAAATAAAGCTCAAAATAGACTACTGTGGATAAGATTTTGAACGCTAATCTTGAATTTGCACACGCTGTTCAACAATCTGATGCAGTGACTTTACGTTCATATAGGTTTTCCTCAACCTAAAGTGATAGTTAATATAAGAAGCAAAACAGTTACTCAGCATAGGTTATACTTCAGAATGAATTTCTCACTCATTTTATCAAAATACCCTAATTGTTTTTACAAATAGTTCTTTTATTCTTGAGAGACGATTATTACCTGTACAAGTAGCGTGCTAATATCCAGCTAAAGTTATTCAGACGCCTAGGAAAAATTAAAACAAAACTCATAATAGCTCTTACATAAATATACAATTTATTTCATTACTGATATTGTTCTTTCTATTTCAGCTACCTCATCATCCTCTAGCAGTTTATCATGTTTCTGGTGAATACGCAATGCTAAAACATGCCGCAAATGCTGGAGCTATCGATTTAAAGCAAGCCGCCCTAGAATTGATGACTGCATTCCGTCGTGCGGGTAAATTTCAATACCAGACAATTTTTGCTTATGCTCATGAAGTAACCAATATTTTGATTGTTTAAAAATCCCCATCATCTTAAAAGACTACTATATGAACGAAGAATATTCTTTTCAATAAATCCTCTTCAGGTTCTACAAAATTGTATATCCAAATTAATGATCTGAAAAGTGGTCAGATTTAGGGCAAAGTACATCGTTTACAGTAATAACATGTAAATGTACAATTGTAAAATAAAATTGTTAATGTTGAGATAGCTCATATGAAATGTTAACTTACATCGTCTTATACGTTAAGCGAAATTATAAGATTGTTCATGATCGGAATAAATATGGGTCAGATAAGGTGAGAGAAATAATAGTGCAATTCGATCAAATGTCTAGTGGAAGACTATATTATGTAAAAATTTTATTTGAAATTAATAAGAAATGGTAATGTGGAATGAATGCTAATATAATGAATCATGTATTCGAGACATTAATAATAATGCTAAACCACTAATAATACAAAGATATGTGAATAAATACAACAGACAATTGTATTTGACTAAGAACGGTTGTAGGTACATTACTCAAATTAGGTCATTCAATAGCTATAATTATTATTTAATTGGTTCTGTGGTAAGCCAAGTTAGGAGAGGCAGTTGAAGATATTTCTTTGTATCCATCGTAGTGGCTACTGCTTCCGCCGTTCACATGCTATAACTTTCAACGTCGTACTTTGCCATAAACCTGGCCACTCTTCGGATCATTAATTTGGATGTATAATTGTAGAACCTGAAGAGAATATTCTCCGTTCATATATTAGTCTTTTAACCAATATTTCTTGTGTGTATTAGAAATATTTTTGATGTAGATTATAATTATAAATAACTTTTCTCTGCATCTTGGTAAACTATTCATAATAATTGTTGTCTAAGTACTATTGATCAGACCATAGATATTCAGATCAAATTTATTGGTTTACTTGATGTTAACTTTAAATGATTTGCATCAGAAGAAAACGTATTCCAAAAGGCAACTAGTTGCATTATAACCTGTAATCATGTCTTACCATTTATTTATGAAAAAAATAACATAAAATGCAAATAAATTACATTTTTCGGATAGACTTCATTTTATCACATTATGCACATTTATGTAACAAATTAATTATCCTAAATGATATATATTAATTAGTACAGTACCAAAAGTGCAAATTACAAACGTGTTATCGGTGTTTTCTTAAGAAACATAATTGGAGTGTAATCACAAATCTGTGCATACCTTTCCCCTGTTTCAAAAAATTAGTCCGTTAACATAAACCTGTTTTGATCATTAGCTATATGCTGAACGATTAAAAGTTATTACCTTATTCTAACTTCAACTCAACTGCAATGACCACCTAATTAATTTCAACAGAATTTTCTACACATACTAGTTCACACGTACATGAACTTCGTTAGTGTTACCATTTTTAGACTATTATACACTTCATAACAAAGATTTTTATTGATTGTTCGTAATATTCATTTTCTTTATTGTTTTTAATCAAAAACATACTTATGTATTTCTTAAAAAACATTTTTCCTCTTTTTTTATTCTCACATTTTGTGTGTAGGTGCATCAATTATCATAACATATTTAACACCGTACCTGCTGGAACTTGATTTGTCTGAATCATGTAAATAATGGTGGATATTTTTGAACTAACAACCTTAACAGTTTAGATGAATGATTGACTTGTTCGCTGAAATATATTGGAGTAATTGATATTTCATTTGCTTCACAACTTTGTTTTACTGATTTCCTCATTCCATTGTAGTATCTTTTCTTTGTCTGTTAATTCATATGTATATTCTCTAAAAAAGTATTCCATTCTTATCTATTAGCTTTGATTCTCTACATCTTTCTGTATCTGTGTTTGTTATCCTAGTTTATTAATAAATTGCTAGTTTAGGAATTTTGCGAAGATTGTTCATTTGTAGTGTACATCACAGACTGTCGTTAATTAAACAACTATTGAAAATCTCAAAGCACTGGATATCCGTTGTGTCTTAATATATAGGTCTCCTCAACATTACCCATATATGACACCGTCAGATATCTCGTGGTAAGCGCCTAACTTTCATATCATCGATCTAGTATTCAATATTTCATATTTCTGTCTTCGGTTTATGTGTAACAAACAAATGAATCGGAACAACAGAAAACGAGTCACCGTAGCGAACCACTGGAGGTATATAATAAGGACGAGGAGGACGCATTTTTTTAGCTTATGACAAAAATTGGTGTGGAGAAGTGAAAGAAATTATTTTCGAGGTATTCATAAAGCTAAAAATAATGTGATCATAAGCGAATATAGCTTTTCCTATCCCTCATATTTAAATATAGGATTCCATCTTATGCTTCTTTCTCGTACCGCTTCTAGGTAATATATCATGTTCCGAACGCATGTTTTCCCAAAAACTCGTGTATTGCTTTAGCGTTTCCTGTATCTGGATGGAAACCAGAAGCGTTGAAATTTTTAGTTACCTCAGATCAGCACTAAAGCCTAGTCAATTATGATTTCGGTTACTACTCATTGATCAATGTAAATACATCAGCCCTACCGGAGGTTTGTCGAAACACGAACAGCTCAGTACCAACATCTCAGACTGATGTGGGTTAAAATTCCATATGGGAGAGCGTTATTTGCATGTAAGCTTCGATGACTAGTCCCAACCAGGACAAAGCCAAGGTCTCTGTTCTCTCACCAACCACCCAATATTCAAACATAATACACTCTATGTTGAGTCACCTAAAGTAGCAACGCATTGCAACTTGATCGATAGGGTTCATTTACTACTAAGGAATCAATAGACATGGTTCTGGTTATTCTACGTAGTGATCATTCTGTATAATCCTTATTCACCAGGCATAAAACAAAAGCATATTGTGCAAAAAGCTCTTCGTTTGGTTGTGTAAGTCTCCTGGTAAGCTCAAATTAAGACATCAGAGTCCACAACAACTACTGGACTATAAATTAAGTGCATATTGGTAGTTGGACAATTGAGGGTACTGTCCTTACCCTGGAGCGGAACCTGTGTAGTGCTGGAATAATCTGCAACACCCTAGACGGATTCTCTTTGCAATCAAGCAAAGCTACATTAATAGACGATTGGTCCCATGGGTGTAAGGCGAGTTTTTTCTGAGACAGTTCGGCAAGCTTGATTCAGTATTGACTACAAGTGTATTAAACCTCTTACGTTTTGGATCTTATTTTCAAGACATGAACATCGCATCTTAAGATCGTGTTTTGGAGTTACTATTTTCATTACAACAAATCAGTTACTAGCATCTAGTGACAATCTAGCGTAGTAAGATGAACCGATAACATTATAAGGAATTTGTTCAGATCATAATATGATTGTTTAGCTACCTGTCTTTTTTGATAACTATGAAATGCGTTAAATTCACCGAGTTGTGCTACCTTTATTCGTTGATTGGGTATAGAAAAAAGAGTTGTTGCTAAAATGCCGTTTCGATTCTGACAGTGCAGTGATGAAATCACTGTGTATGTTGACCATTAAAAAAGAAAAAAAACCCAGTATGATAGTAATCAAGATGCCAATTACGTGGGAAATATTGTTACTTTTTTCATGTCTTTAGTGAGCTTATTGTGAACTAAGTGGGATTTTATATACCACCACTATCACAGACTGATAACGTTTTGATCTACTGTAGTAGGTTTATTCTGGTTTCTAGACAAACCAAAAATCGCACTCATTCCCGTTATTCTCTACGCTTGTCGTTTAGAAGAGTATTAAAATAAAATGAGTTAAGCGCTTTACAGTCAAATATATAATTGGAGTGTGATTGATCACTTTGTACTTACTCATGAATAATTGTGGACTCTTACCTGTGTACACTCATACACATGAATATTCGTGATTTTTCGACGACCTATCGGATTAGATCTAGGTATATTTTGATTCAGTATTTTTTTACATATGTATATGATGTCACTATGTATACACACCTCACCTACACATTTGTTCACGCATATAATTAACCCATTCTTTGTCTGTCTGCTTCCTCTAATTGAGGACATGACTGGTTGGAGTAAACCTGTTAATATTTTGTGCCATCACTTATCATTACACCGGAGGCAAATGCAATCACTGAGTTGTTGAAATCAATTCGTCATACCAAGTCAATCTGGATGGGTTCTTAATAAGGGCTGAGCATGCCAATGCTAAAATTAAATACGTTTAGAGATCTAAAATATATCTGACTGAAATGCTTAATTTCTACCTAGAGGAGATATTCTCTTCAAACGAAACAGTTGAAAGGAAGGAAAATATTAAGAATATTCTGGAAACTTAATTACTTACTCGCCATCCAACCCTGTCCTGGGCAATCAGTTGTTATTCATCCTCTTCATATCTGTTCTTTGGCCTTTCTCTTCTCAGCTTCCCTTCACGATTCCAAGTTACAACCTGCCTCGTGATGCAGTTTGATGATTTGTGTAATGTATGTCCTATCCATTTCCATCGTCTTTTCCTAATTACCTCTTCAGCTGGAAGCTGGTTTGTTCTCTCCCACAGAAGGCTGTTGCTGATGGTATCCGGCCAATGGATGTTGAGTATCCTGCGTAGACAACTATTTATAAATACTTCTACCTTCTTGATGATGGTTGTAGTAGTTCCCCAATCGTCAGCTCCGTGCAGTAGCACTGTGTTGACATTGGTATTGAAGATTGTGACTTTGATATTGGTTGAAAGTTGTTTTGAGTTCCATATGTTCTTCAATTGTAGGGATGCGGCCCTCGTTCTGCCAATCCTCGCCATTACGTCTGCATCTGAACCTCCATGTTCATCGATGATGCTTCACAGGTATGTGAAGGATTCTACATCTTCCAGAGTTTCGCCATCAAGTGTGATTGGATTGGTGTTCTCTGTGTTGTATTCGAGGAGCTTGGTTTACCCCTTATGAATGTTGAGGCCTATTGATGCAGAGACTGATGCTATACTGGCTGTCTTTATCTGCATTTGTTGGTGTGTATGGTATAGAAGGGCTAGGTCATCTGCGAAGTCCAAATCGTCTAATTGGTTCTGAGCTGTCCATTGTACGCCGTGTTTCCCTTCAGATGTCGAGATCTTCACAATCCAGTCGACCATCAGAAGAGAGAGGAAGTGGGGGAGTAGACACCCTTGTCTGACTCCGATTCTTACTTGGAATGCATTTGTCAGCTGTCGTCCATGCATTACATTGCACTGTATTCCGTCGTATGAGTTCCGGATAATGTTGACAATCTTCTCAGGAACTCCGTAGTGTCGACGAAGCTTCCGTAATGTACTCCTATCTACACTGTCAAGTGCCTTTTCATAATCAATGAAGTTGATGTACAGTGTCGAGTTCCACTCAACTGATTGTTCGACGATGATCCGTAGTGTTGCAATTTGGTCTGTGTACGACCGATCGGAACGAAATCCAGCCTCCTGAACTCCAAGTTCAGCGTCTTCTGTGTCTTTCATCCGGTTCAGCAACACTCTGTTAAAGACTTTCCCTAGTGCTGACAGTAGTGTGATGCCTCTGTAGTTTTCATATTTGCTCAGATCTCCTTTCTTTGGAATCTTGATGAAGTGTCCTTCTTTCCAGTCCGTCAGCACCTGTTCCTCCTCCCAAATCTTCTTGAATAGAGTATGAAGCATGTTTGTAGTTACTTCGGTGTCTGACTTCAGTGCTTCAGCTAGTATATTATCAGGTCCTGCTGCTTTCCCGCTCTTGATTTGCCTGATGACCATCGTGATTTCTTTGGTCGTTGGTTGATTGACATCCACAGGATGATCTGTGTGTACTGCTTCGTTGTCTGGTGGATTCATTGGAGTCGGTCTATTGAAGAGTTCCTCGAAGTACTCTACTCATCTGTTCCGCTGTTGTTGAGTTTCAGTGATTGGCCTGCCTTCTTTGTCTTTGACCAGTCTCTCTGGCCCACTATATCTCCCTGCTAGTTTCTTCGTTGTATCATACAGCTGTTTCATATTTTCTTCTCTCGCAGCTTTTTCCGCCGTCATTGCTAGTTCTTCCACGTATTTCTTCTTGTCGGCTTTAATGCTCTTCTTCACTTGGTTGTCTGCTTCTATGTACTCAGTTTGTGCCTTGACTTTCTCTGCTCGTGTTCGGCTGTTGTTAATTGCTGTCTTCTTGTTCTTCCTTTCTTTGATCTTGTCCAGTGTTTCTATAGAGATCCATTCCTTATGATGATGCTTGTTGAGGCCCAGAACCTCTTGACACATTGAAGTTAATGCTTCTTTGATACCTTTCCAGTTGTCCTCCATAGTCGTTTCTTCTTCCTTCAGTAGATCCTGTAAGGCTTGGAACCTGTTGTTGAGAGCTATCTTGAATTCATTGAGTCTGTCAGTATCTCGAAGGAAGGCTGTATTGAAGCTTTGTATTGCTGTTTGTCTAGTTGTCCGGCATTAACTCTAGAAGAGCTACAGGCGGAGTTATTTTTCTCTAGAATTGATTAAATGAAAATTACTTAGTTGATGCTGGTGGGAATGTTAACTCATTCGAATCTTATGTTTTAGATACTAGAAGTCTATTTGGTTGAATGTTTACAATGGTTGCATTCATGATATCGTCTTTTGTATTACTAAATATTGACCTGGTATGTCTTCGTTTTGAGTGTCTACTTTACTTGAAAAACACTCATTAGTGTATATGGTTCTGTGCTTATTTCTGGTATGCAAAGATGGTGTTAATATGTGTTATGACTTTTGCCCCTGTCAGTTATCACGTAACAAAATCGCCAATCTGAATACCGACTTATATGACCTTGTCTTGTGCTAAACCAATGACACGTTAAAACAGCACTAGCAGCCTTTTGTCAACTCTTTATCTTTTTTGATCCTTCTCGCCTAGCCCTAACCCTTGAATTCAGAAAGCGATCCCAGCCTCCACTATATGAATCGTATATTTTGTACATATGTCGTTTTTATACAAGCAAACCAGACCGTATCACACCATAAAGTTAAAAATAATTA